ACATGTGCAGAACATGTACATTTTTTACATAGGTATACATGTGCCATGCTGGTCTGCTGCACCCATCAACCTGTCATCTACATTAGGTATTTCTCCTAATGCTATCCTTCCCCTAGCCCCCTACCCCACAACAGGCCCCGGTGTGTGGTGGTCCCCTCCCTGTGTCCATGTGTTCTCATTGTTCAGTTCCCACTTATGAGTGAGAATATGCAGTGTTTGGTTTTGTTCTTCTGTTAGTTTGTTGAAAATGATGGTTTCCAGCTTTATTCATGTCCCTGCAAAGGACATGAACTCATCCTTTTTTTGGTGATTATGTTTCATCTCTTCAACCTCTAGGGCATAGTCCTTGGACTTCTTGTCTAACCACACTCACTTTCTTAGTGATATTCAATCTTATGCCTTCAAATCTATATTCTCCCTTCAATTTGACACTTATAAATCCAGCTGCCTACCTGACATGTCCACCAGGGTATCTAAGAAGAAATTCACACTTAATATGTATGTCTAAAACCTAACTCTTAATTTCTCCCTAACCTTTACCATTCTTGCTCCTCCCACAGTTTTCCCTGCTTCAATGAATATCAATTCTATTCTCCAGTTACTGAGACAAAATTTTGAGGTCATCCTTGATTCCTCTATTTCTTTTGTACCATGTTCAATCTGTTAGCAAATGACATTGGCTTTACCTTCAAAATTTATTCAGAATACTGTCACTTCTCACCACTTTCACAGTCACTTTCCTGGACTATTACAATAGTCCTAACTAACCTCCCTTCCTCTGCCCCTGTTTTCTCCCTCCAAAGTCTATTCCTCAATATAACAGCCAGAGCAAGGCTTTAAAAATCATATCAAGACACTCCTGTACCCCAGACTTTCCCATCTCTCTCAGAGTAAAAGTCGAAGTTCTCTGAATGGTCTAGAGTCTGCATGGTCTAGTACCCATTATGGTAACCTCATTTCTCAACTTCACCTCCCCCTACCCCCCCGACCCCAAACACACGCACTCTCTATTCCAGCCACACCTACCTCCTTGCTGCTTTGCGAACATACCAGGCATGCTTCAGTTTTACATATTTGAGCTTGCTGTTCCCTCTCCCTGGAACTCTTGCCCGGATATATTCATGGTTATTTCAGCTCTGACTTTAGTATCACCTTATCAAGGAGGCTTTCCCTGGCAACCCTTTCAAAAAGTGACCTCCCTGTCTCCTTTCTAGGCATTCTTTGCCTTTCTTCTCTACTTTATTTTCTTATTGCCGTTATTTAAAAAGTACAGTTTTGATGTTTAGTAGTCTCATCGATATAAAATATAAGTTCCCAGAAAGAAGCAATCTCTATTTTGCTTACTGCTTTAACTTCATTGTCTAGAACAGTGCTTGGCACAGAATGGATACTTAATATTTGTTTTAAAGCTAGCTATGAAAACACATGTCTGCAGGAAACATGGATTATAGAATAATGAAATATCCCACCCTCCCTTAACCTACATCAGTCTTCTTCTCTTCAGCTGGCCAGGCAACACAACTTTATCCACATGCACAGGTTAGTCCTTGATTTCAGCTAAGAGCAGGTGCTCAGCCTCTATACTGATCAGTGTCTGATAAAGATGCAATTAGATAGCCTTAAGATAGTGCCATTTAGTACACACAGTAAGAGAGGAGCCACAGCTAGAACTTGGGGTGCTTGGCTGAGCTTTGCAGGACCTAGATTACTTCAAGGCACTGTCACCCACCTCTCTCATGCACTGACTGTGGATGAACAAGAACCTGCCTTGGCCATCTCTATAAACCTAATCACTGGTTGTTACAATTAACAAAATATAAATTAATGTAAAAGCACAGTTGAATTCTTTATGGCCTTATATTCGTAACAATGGTACTAGTTTGTATATATTTATATATACACATGCACATATTCATTCCTTTAAGTTTATCGGAATAAATTTCTACTTCGAACCAACACCTTAAAATAGTTTAAGCAAGAAACACTTATTTTAGGAAATTTTGAACATCAAAGAAAATATAAGAAAAAAAATTACTCCTACTATTCAAGTGAGACCACTGTTTAATATTTTGATTCTTTATGTTCTTCGGTCTACTGAGATAATTTTTTCTACATAATCTATACTGATTCTTGTATTTTTTCATTTAAAACATCAGGGATGAAGGTTACATTTTTTTTTTCTTTCCTTTTTTTTTTTTTTTTTCTGACAGAGTTTCACTCTGTCACCCAGGCTGGAGTGCAGTGGCGTGATCTTGGCTCACTGCAACCTCCACCTCCCGGGTTCAATTGATTCTCCTGCCTCAACCTCCCGAGTAGCTGGGATTACAGGCACCTGCCACCACACCCGGGTAATTTTTTGTGTTTTTAGTAGAGATGGGGTTTCGCCATGTTGCCCAAGCTGGTTTCGAACTCCAGAGCTCAGGCAATCCACCCACTTCGGCCTCCCAAAGTGCTAGGATTACAGGCATGAGCCACCACGCCCAGCCGAAGGTTATGTTTTCTAAGTACACGTAAGTAGCTACAACAGTTTTGGGGGATTTAAAGATGGATTGGCAAACACTCCTTCAACCATTCTTTTTGAAGAAATCTGGGACTGAGAAAACTGTTTTCCCTAGGCTTTCTCTAGGAAAAGTACATAAGCCGAAGAGGTTAATAATTACATTGGAGCCTGTACTGTATGGTTTTATAAAAGGGTATCAGGTATGCCATTAAAAATTATAATTAGCCCCATGCCTCTGGAGTTAGAGCCCTAGGGCTGACCTTCTCCCGTTTCTTACCCATACCTGCTTGAGTGTGGCTTTGCTGGGATGGGGCTTTACCTCTTCAAGGTGAGTTAAGAGGGAGCTCTCCTGCTGCCGTAAGTGGAATTACCACTTTAATTTAATTACAGGTTGTCCTCAATGAGTTGGATGTTGTTGGAGTGATTTTTGTCTCTGTCATTCCTTCTGAAAGTTTGATCGGTTTGGTTATTTCTTAGAATATTAATAATCTCTTTCTTGATTCTAATTAAGTCACTAGTACCTAAGCAAAATAGCCATTAAGAGTTATGGAAATGTAATTGCTCCACCAACTGGTCAGCTATAATATTATAGCAATGGAAATAAAAGCACTGTCTGCCTATGGGATGATTTTTAAAAAAATAATTGTACATAAAAATAGCAGGTTTTAAAAAATAAGTTACTTTTGGGAATCCATAATAGTGAAAAAACTGCTATTTTTTTTTTTTTTTGCTTTATGTCAATAGATTCTTTTAAAACTTATTTTCCTTTTCAAATTAGTCAAATCCCCATATGTTTATTAAATCCATATCTTTGTTCCTTGTGTAAGCTAATGACTGAGGTGGATTTAAAGTAGGACCTTTCCCAAGGGAGCTTAATGTTATAAGGGAGGCTGTAATTAATCTCAAAGCATACTAAATAATCTAAAAAGCAAAAAATGCCACCAAACTCTGTTAATATGTGTGGTCTCCATAGATATCACTCAATGTCCATGTCCTTGGCTTATAATTCAAAAGATTTTCTTTTTCTTTTTTCTGAGTCCAAGTCTCGCTCTGTCACCCAGGCTGGAGTGCAATGGCATGATCTTGGTTCACTGCAACCTCCTCCTTCCCAGGTTCAAGCAATTCTCCTGCCTTGGCTCCTGAGTAGCTGGGATTACAGGTACCCATCACCATGCCTGGCTAATTTTTGTATTTTTAGTAGAGATGGGGTTTTACCACGTTGGCCAGGCTGGTCTCTTTGGCCAGGCTGGCTTTAAACTCCTGACCTCATGATCCACCTGCCTTGGCCTCCCAAATTGCTGGGATTACAGGCGTGAGCCACCGCGCCAGGCGCCCAAGAATATTTTTCATAATTATCTTTTTATTTTTTCCCAATCCTGGCCGTCACTAAGCCCTCTTATGTGAAAAGAAAACAGTCCATAATGTTTTTGCTTCTTTGTGAGAACTTCCCAAGACTGACTGCTCTGTGACGGTCCCCTAAAATGGATGAGCTGCTCAAAGATCTCTGGACTGAGACACAGGAATCGGGGAGTTGAGTTTCTCTTCTGCCATTGGCTTCCTGTGTAGATTTGGGAGCTCATTTCACTCTTCTAGGTCTGTCTTTTGTTATCTGTAACTTGAGTCCCTACTTGAGAATACCCTGCTTCCAGCATTAAATAATCCATGACTTTAGCTTGTCCATGAGTCACAATTAAACTTATGACAAATCAGTCAATTCTTCATGAAACATGCATGCTCTAGAGCCATGTCTGTCGATTATAAAAGTATGTCAAATATAGTGATATGAGGAATGGTTGGAGAGGTGTGTGTATGTGTATGTGGTGGGACACACATGTGAGCACACACACCCACCCACACACACTATCCTTCTTCCCTCAACCCACTTCCCACAATGCTGACAGTGGAATACATTGTCACTTTTTGGAAAGTCCTTTGAATGTAGGTCTTTAAATGTTCAAGGCCTAGCAACTAAAGGGATTTTAGAAAGTCATCTATCTCCTTGCCTCCAGGATGGAGGTTAAACCATCTTGAAAAGATTCGTGTTATCAAGAGATGATTCCTTCATTTATTCATTGATGACATATTTGAGTACTTACTGAGGGCCAGCCTGTGTGCAAGGAACGATATTCTCAAAGAGGAAGAACAAACGAGGAAGAGAATTCCCCAGGACAAAGTAACAGGGATGGGGCAGGTTATTCTTGAGTTCATCCACTAAAATTCTGGGTGGGTGGGTTGGTTGGTTGGTTTTTTAGTTTGTTTGGTTTGTTTTGGCAGCCTTGCTCTGTTGCCCAGACTGGAGTGCAGTGGTACAAACCTAGCTCACTGCAACCTCTGCCTCCCGGGCTCAAAAGATTCTCCTGCTTCAGCCTCCTGAGTAGCTGGGATTATAGGCACCTGCCACCACGCCTGGCTAATTTTTGTATCTTTAGTAGAGATGGAGTTTCACCATGTTGGGCAGCCTGGTTTCAAACTCCTGGCCTCAAGTGATCTGCCCGCCTCTCCCTTCCAGAGTGCTGGGATTACAGGCATGAGCCGCTGTGCCTGGCCCAAATTCTGGTGTTTGAAATGTGATGACTTTAAATGCTGACCCTGCCAAAAAAAAAAAAAAAAAAAAAAAAAAAAAAAAAAAAAAAAGCATGAGAATGTCTTCTGTAAATGTTTAGTTAGAAGAGGGGGTGGTGATAAACAGAAGGTGGTGGTGGTGCTTCAGGGTGTGTAGGCTGCCACGATATTTGTCTGAAAAAGAGATGATGTCACTTAAAATGCAAGGCATTAAGTAAGTCACTGTCTGGGGAGCCAGACGGCAAGGAGAATAAATCTGGGTAAACCAGAAGTCAGAAGAAACATAAGTGCCAAAACACAAGGCAATTAGACCCTGAAAAATGTTATTTCATAACAATGGAGTATCTTAGATAGCAGGAGAGAATTCACAAAGCCTCAAGGCCCATGATTTCCTTCTATTCTTTCGTTACCCAACTTATTACCCACAGATCACGAGTTCTGCCTCTTCCACCCACATTGTCCCTCACACCCTCTTGTAGTTTCAATGTGCTGGCCGTGACTCATCCCACACCTCGTTTTCCTTTCAAATCACCCTACACAATACAGTCTTGCCCTACTTCAGGATACCGTTTAGCACGCATGATTCAGGCTGTTTCCGTTTTCCACGTTTATCTTTCACTATCTGGGGACTGGCGCCTCCCCTCCCTTCTGTGGCAGCTGGATCTGGGTGAATCCCAGGGCCACAGGGTGAATGGTTGCTTTTTCTCTTGCTGGATTCTGGGCCATTTCTAATGTCCTCACAGGGCACAGCTTGCCTCCCCTCTGTGCTTTTCTGCAGGGTCATATGTGAAATAGCCACATCGCATGAACTGCTTTTGTAGAAACGGGCACTGAGGAAGGCATGGAACCCACTGCAAACTGCCTCAGAGGCCGATGCCTTTTTTATTATTTATTTATTTATTTATTTATTCATTTATTTATTTATTATTATTATACTTTAAGTTCTAGGGTACATTTGCATAACGTTCAGGTTTGTTACATATGTATACATGTGCCATGTTGGTGTGCTGCACCCATCAACTCGTCATTTACATCAGGTATAACTCCCAATGCAATCCCTCCCCCGTCCCCCCTCCCCATGATAGGCCCCGGTGTGTGATGTCCCCCTTCCCGAGTCCAAGTGATCTCATTGCTCAGTTCCCACCTATGAGTGACAACATGCGGTGTTTGGTTTTCTGTTCTTGTGATAGTTTGCTAAGAATGATGGTTTCCAGCTGCATCCATGTCCCTACAAAGGACACAAACTCATCCTTTTTTATGGCTGCATAGTATTCCATGGTGTGTATGTGCCACATTTTCTTAATCCAGTCTGTCACTGATGGACATTTGGGTTGATTCCAAGTCTTTGCTATTGTGAATAGTGCCGCAATAAACATACGTGTGCATGTGTCTTTATAGCAGCATGATTTATAATCCTTTGGGTATATACCCAGTAATGGGATGGCTGGGTCATATGGTACTTCTAGTTCTAGATCCTTGAGGAATCGCCATACTGTTTTCCATAATGGTTGAACTAGTTTACAATCCCACCAACAGTGTAAAAGCGTTCCTATTTCTCCACATCCTCTCCAGCACCTGTTGTTTCCTTTTTAATGATCGCCATTCTAACTGGTGTGAGATGGTATCTCATTGTGGTTTTGATTTGCATTTCTCTGATGGCGAGTGATGATGAGCATTTTTTCATGTGTCTGTTGGCTGTATGAATGTCTTCTTTTGAGAAATGTCTGTTCATATCCTTTGCCCACTTTTTGATGGGGTTGTTTGTTTTTTTCTTGTAAATTTGTTTGAGTTCTTTGTAGGTTCTGGATATTAGCCCTTTGTCAGATAAGTAGATTGCAAAAATTTTCTCCCATTCTGTAGGTTGCCTGTTCACTCTGATGGTAGTTTCTTTTGCTGTGCAGAAGCTTTTTAGTTTAATGAGATCCCATTTGTCAATTTTGGCTTTTGCTGCCGTTGCTTTTGGTGTTTTAGACATGAAGTCTTTGCCCATGCCTATGTCCTGAATGGTACTACCTAGGTTTTCCTCTAGGGTTTTTATGGTATTAGGTCTAACATTTAAGTCTCTAATCCATCTTGAATTAATTTTCGTATAAGGAGTAAGGAAAGGATCCAGTTTCAGCTTTCTACTTATGGCTAGCCAATTTTCCCAGCACCATTTATTAAATAGGGAATCCTTTCCCCATTTCTTGTTTTTGTCAGGTTTGTCAAAGATCAGATGGCTGTAGATGTGTGGTATTATTTCTGAGGACTCTGTTCTGTTCCATTGGTCTATATCTCTGTTTTGGTATCAGTACCATGCTGTTTTGGTTACTGTAGCCTTGTAGTATAGTTTGAAGTGAGGTAGCATGATGCCTCCAGCTTTGTTCTTTTGACTTAGGATTGTCTTGGAGATGCAGGCTCTTTTTTGGTTCCATATGAACTTTAAAGCAGTTTTTTCCAATTCTGTGAAGAAACTCATTGGTAGCTTGATGGGGATGGCATTGAATCTATAAATAACCTTGGGCAGTATGGCCATTTTCACGATATTGATTCTTCCTATCCATGAGCATGGTATGTTCTTCCATTTGTTTGTGTCCTCTTTTATTTCACTGAGCAGTGGTTTGTAGTTCTCCTTGAAGAGGTCCTTTACATCCCTTGTAAGTTGGATTCCTAGGTATTTTATTCTCTTTGAAGCAATTGTGAATGGAAGTTCATTCTTGATTTGGCTCTCTGTTTGTCTGTTACTGGTGTATAAGAATGCTTGTGATTTTTGCACATTAATTTTGTATCCTGAGACTTTGCTGAAGTTGCTTATCAGCTTAAAGAGATTTTGGGCTGAGACAATGGGGTTTTCTAAATATACAATCATGTCATCTGCAAAGAGGGACAATTTGACTTCTTCTTTTCCTAACTGAATACCCTTTCTTTCTCTTGCCTGATTGCCCTAGCCAGAACTTCCAACACTATGTTGAATAGGAGTGGTGAGAGAGGGCATCCCTGTCTTGTGCCAGTTTTCAAGGGAATTTTTCCAGTTTTTGCCCATTCAGTATGATATTGGCTGTGGGTTTTTCATAAATAGCTCTTATTATGTTGAGATGTTCCATCAAAACCTAGTTTATTGAGAGTTTTTAGCATGAAGGAGTGTTGAATTTTATCGAAGGTCTTTTCTGCATCTATTGAGATAATCATGTGGTTTTTGTCATTGGTTCTGTTTATATGCTGCATTATGCTTATTGATTTGCATATGTTGAACCAGCCTTGCATCCCAGGGATGAAGCCCACTTGATCATGGTGGATAAGCTTTTTGATGTGCTGCTGAATCCTGTTTGCCAGTATTTTACTGAGGATTTTTGCATCAATGTTCATCAGGGATATTGGTCTAAAATTCTCCTTTTTTGTTGTGTCTCTGCCAGGCTTTGGTATCAGGATGATGTTGGCCTCATAAAATGAGTTAGGGAGGATTCCCTCTTTTTCTCTTGATTGGAATAGTTTCAGAAGGAATGGTACCAGCTCCTCCTTGTACCTCTGGTAGAATTCAGCTGTGCATCCATCTGGTCCTGGACTTTTTTTCATTGGTAGGCTATTAATTATTGCCTCAATTTCAGAGCCTGCTATTGGTCTATTCAGGGATTCAGCTTCTTCCTGGTTTAGTCTTGGAAGAGTGTAAGTGTCCAGGAAATTATCCATTTCTTCTAGATTTTCTAGTTTATTTGCGTAGAGGTGTTTATAGTATTCTCTGATGATAGTTTGTATTTCTGTGGGGTCGGTGGTGATATCCCCTTTATCATTTTTTATTGCATCTATTTGATTCTTCTCTCTTTTCTTCTTTATTAGTCTTGCTAGCGGTCTGTCAATTTTGTTGATCTTTTAGGCCGATGCTTTTCAAAACACATAGGGGTTGTAAGCGTGAGTTACCACTGCTTCTAAGCCCACGTTGGCCAGTGGGCAGATGTGATTATGCTTCTAGGTGTGACTGTATTTTCATGTAAGCTTTGTCCTTCAAAGTAGTCACCTCAAGAGGTTATACATGTATTCTCATGACACTAAAGATATTTTTGAAATTCTTTTCTTACAGTTTTAAGAATAAATTTATATTAGGAAAATCACAGTGAGTTTACAGCTGTACTCTTTTCCAAAAACTAGTCCAACTCAAGGCAGGCCTCTGCATGAATTTCTCATTTCAGAAATCAAATCTATCTACTCTGAAGATAGTCGAAGGGAAGTTGTTGTAGGCATTGAACACCATTCCAAAAGTTTGCTAAGAATTGTAGCACTGGAGGTCTCCCAGGGATACTGTTTTAATTTATTTGGATGGATTAAGTCTAGAAATATTTATTTTAAGAAAATCAAAACACAAGATTTGGCTTCCTGGCACAGGGGTCTCTTTTCTCCCAGGAGGGTTGCAAATCTTGGCAAGACCTCCAAATTTTTCACTGTCTCAGAATACCTTTCACTGAAATTTGATCACCAAGTAAAATGACAGTTTACTTCAAATCCGGTTGGTTCCTTTACAGTTTGTTTAGGAACTTGACCTTTCAGCTTTTGCAGCTTGGACTAAACATTTATCTAGCATTTACTCTGCTGGGTATGATGAGAGAGAGAACTGAAACTGGACATTTTTCTTTCCTTGTTTTGATGCTTGGTGAACTTCTACTTACCCTTCAAGGCCCAGTTCAAATGTCACCTCCTTGAAAACTTTTCATATTACATAGAAGAAAAATAACACCTTAAAAACAGATGAAAGTAATATTTGGTTAACAGGGTAGTGATTAGAAAATGTATGTCAGTCCTGTAGAAAAAGTTAAATGTTGCTTTCCTCCACCTAAAAACTGGCATTCTTTATCCATGTATGTACAATGGAAGAAAGGTAACATTTCCATAAAGAATTCCTCTATACAGAGGCTACACAAAGCTGGTGATGTTTCCTAAATATAACATTAAAAACTATCATGAGCTGCGTAATGTTGGTTTGGGTCAGTAGCCAGAATAGTTGAGATATTCCAAAATGATAGTAGTTGACTGAACGACATAAAATTATTTCAACAATT